AATAGAAAACCCAGAAATAAGCCCACAATTACATGGTCAGTCTTCCACAAAGGAAGAAAGAATATAAAATGGGGAAAATTTTCTTCAAGAAAGGGTGCTGGGAACACGGGACAGCTACCTGCAAAAGAACGAAACTGGACCACTTTCTAACACCATACACAAAAGTCAATTCAAAATGGGTTAAAGACCCAAATGTGACACCTGAAACCAAAACCTTAGAAGAGAACACAGGCAGTAACTTCTCTGACATTGGCTGTGGCAACGTTTTTCTAGATATGTCTTCTGAGGCAAGGGAAATAAAAGCAAAAACTATTGGGACTTCATCAAAATAAAAAGCTTCTGCACAGCAAAGGAGTCCACAAAACTAAAAGGCAACCTACAGAATGAGAGAAGATATTTGCAAGTTATCTATCCAATAAATGGTTAGTATCCAAAATATATAAAGAACTTGGAAAATTCAACACCCAAGGAACAAATAATCCAATTAAAAACTGGGCAGAAGACATGAATAGACATTTCTCCAAAGAAGACATACAGATGGCTAACAGGTACATGAGGATGCTCATCATCAGTCATCAGGGGACTGCAGATCAAAACTACAATGAGAGATCACCTCACACCTGTCAGAATGGCTAAAACAAAAAACAAGAAACAACAACTTTGGGTGAGGGTGTGGGGAAAAAAGAACCTCTTGCACTGTTGGTGGGAATGCAAACTGGTGCGGGCACTCTGGAAAACAGTATGGAGGTTCCTCAAAAAGTTAAAAATAGAATTACCCTGGGGCACGTGGGTGGCTCAGTAGGTTGAGCATCCGACTTTTGGTTTCAGCTTAGGTTATGATCCCGGGGTCCTGGGATCAAGCCCTGCATCAGGCTCCACGCTCAGGACAGAGTCTGCGTTCTCTGCTTCTCCCCCCACTCATGCAAGTGTGCACTCTGTCTCACTCTCAAATTTTAAAATTTATTTTGAGAGTGAGTATGAGCAGGGTTAGGAGCAGAGAGAGAAGCAGACTTCCTGCTGAGCACGGAGCCTGATGCAGGGCTCAATCCCAGGACCCCAGGATCATGACCTGACCAAAGGCAGATGCTTTACCGACTGAGCCACTCAGGCACCCCTAAAAATCTTTTTAAAAAGATTTAAAAAAAAGAACTAGCCTATGATCCAGCAATCGCACTACTGGTTATCTACCCAAAGAATACAAAAATACAAAAACTTCGGGTAAATACCCAGTAGTGCGATTGCTGGATCATAGTACCTCGCTAGCCAGGTACTTGATGCTTGTGGTGAAGAAGAGTGTGGATTGATGAGAAGGAACTAACAATTTACTGGGGAGATGGAAGCACTCTATATGGAATGTTTGTTCGATTGTTTATGAAAGGTACTTAAACTCTCCTTTCACACTATTGGGTAAGTATCCCAGAATTAGTGTACCAGGACTACTCAGATGTATCCAGGATTACTCAGGTGTTCCATTCATCAAAATTACAGAAAAGTTAAGATTTGTGCATTAAATGTATATAAATTTTGCCTTAAAAAATAGCAAAATAGGGGCACCTGGGTGGCTCAGTCGTTAAGCGTCTGCCTTCGGCTCAGGTCATGATACAGGGGTCCTGGGATCAAGCCCTGCATCGGGCTCCCTGCTCCGCTGGAGGCCTGCTTCTCCCTCTCCCACTCCCCCTGCTTGTGTTCCCTCTCTCGCTGTCTCTCTCTCTGTCAAATAAATAAATAAAATCTTAAAAATATATTAACAGTCCTTGAGTGGTGAGTGGGTAGAGGTGGAAATGAAATAAGAAATTTGCGATTTCGAAGCTAGGTGATAGTACATGAGGTTATTACACTGTTCTGTTAACTTTGTGTATTTACATTTAAAGCTCTCCACAATGTTTTTTGTTGTTACTGTTTTTTGTTTGGTTGTTTGTTTGTTTTTTGGGCAGCAAAGCAAGGTTTATTGACTGCTAGCAAAGTGATAGTACAAAGCTCCCAAGGACGGAGGGGTCCCGAAGGGGTTGCCTCACAACGTTTTTTTAAAGCAACATTCTAGTGTACCATATTAGAAAGTCACAAGATACTAGTATTCAGAAATCACCCCTGAAACTAATAATACACTATATGTTAAGAAATCAAGAAATAGCCATGTTAGCATATTATTTAAAAATGCGGAATTAATGGGCACTTGGGTGGCTCAGTCGTTAAGCATCTGCCTTCCGCTCAGGTCATGATCCCAGGGTCCTGGGATCAAGCCCCGCATCGCATCGGGCTCCCTGCTCAGCAGGAAGCCTGCTTCTCCCTCTCCCACTTCCTCTGCTTGTGTTCCTGCTCTCGCTCTCTCTCTCTGTCAAATAAATAAATAAAATCTTTAAAAAAAATAAAAATGTGGAATTAAATAGGGAAAAAAGGTTAAAAGATAGCATAATGGTTGTCTCTGGGGGGTCAGAACTGTGTGTGGAGAGGGCTGAAGTACGGGATGTCTATTTTGTAAGACTGTCGGTGTTATTTAATTTTTAAACCTTATGCATGTATTACTTAGATAAAACGATATATTCTGTGGATTTCTGCATTGTTTTCAAGGAAAATATCAACATAATCCTGTGTGAATAATTAGACACAGACCAGTGCTTGGAATATATAAAAATTCTTTTTGCCCATGATGATTTTGGCAGTATGCCCAATTATTTCCATTGCCAAAGGTGGTGATTTACATTTGAATTCCTACTTCAGATGAGCAGAGCTAAGAAGTTTGATTGCATATAGTTTCTTCCTGTGTGCTCCTGCCCTCCTGCAGTTTGTTTTTTACACAGTAGTTAAGAGTGATCATAAATAAGCTTATATTACTCGCCTATTTAAAAGCTACTCAATATCTTCCCATTGCAATTAGGATAAAATTCAAGCTCTTTATCATGGCCTACAAAAGGCCATAAATGCTATAAACGATCAGGTGTTTGCCATTCTTCCCTAATCACTGTGTCAGCCTTGATGGCCTTCTTGCACAGTCATCGCTCATTCCTGCCTCAGGGCCTTTGTACTTGCCATTCCTCAAGAGATTGGCTGCTTTTCATCATTCAGGATTTAATTCAAAATGTCGTTCCTGAAAAAGGCCATCTCTGACCATCTAGCTAGACAAGCTCCCTCCACCCCTTCTCCTTCTTGAGCAATAGTAAAGTGTGGTCCTCAGACCAGAAGCACTGAGCTGGGAGCATTTGGTTTGGTTTGGTTTGGTTTGGTTTGGAAATGCAGAGTCTTAGGTCCTACCACAGACCTGCTAAAGGAAAACCTGGATTTTAATGAGACCCCAAGATGATTGTGTGCATTTTTAAATTTTCAGAAGCTCTGATCTAAAATGACTCTGCCCTCACCTTTCCTACGTATCTTTTAATAGTTTCATCCATTTCTGAAAGTAACTTTGTCTTTTGTTTACATGTTCACTGCTTCTCCTCCCTAAATTGAATAAAATCCCCACAAGGGCACCACCTTTTCTGATTTGTTCACTCCTGTATTCCAGCACTTGACCCATTATCTGCCCCTAGAACGGTGCACAATTAAGTATTTGATGTGTAAAAGAATGCACAAATCTGATGGAGATTATTTTGTGTTCCTCAAAGTGTATAACTGCACAATAAAAATCTTCAGGACTCTCACTCGCTTGTAAAATCGGGGTTACTGTTCCCTGCCAATATCATTATGAAGAGGTTTCACTCTTTCTTGGACACTACTATTAAACTCATGTGACAAATAAAGAATCACTTGTTTATCCTTGTTTTCAGGTAGTTTTCGAAACCAAAGTTTAGGTTTTATTGAGTGCTTCACTACGGACCTAAAACCATGACTGGTGTTTTCTTTCTTATTTTTGAAAAGCATTCTCATCAGAGTTAAAGTTATTTTCAAAGGTTTTCATCCAAAGTAAGTGTTAGTTTGATATTTGAGTCAAATTTTATTAAATCTGAAATAATCTTTTTTAAAAACGGGAAAATAAGATTCTGAAAATGTTAATTGCAAAATTTGAAGTTAAACTGCAAACAAAAACTGATGGAGCAAATTGTGTATCAGTTTTTTACTCTTGAGGTATGATTCTAGGAAGGACCTATAGTTTTTGATATTCTATTTTTAAAAAATATGTTCCTAAGATATGTTTCCTATTGCATATCCTGGAGAAATTTGTCAGGAAGCAACATTTCAGTCCACATACTTTGTGATTTTATTTACTTATTTATTTGTGTGTGTGTGAGAGCGTGAGCAGGGGGAGGCAACTCTGTGCTGAGTGGGGAGCCGGACGCAGGGCTTGATCCCATGACCCATGAGATCATGACCTGAGCCGAAACCAAGAGTCGTATGCTTCACCGACTGAGCCACCCAGGTGCCCCTCACTCCACACACTCTGAATGAAGAAACAAGGCAGCTTAAGTCAGTGGCTTTCAGCTGGGGGAGATTTTGCCCCCTGGGGACATTTGGCAATGGCTGGAGACATTTTCGCTTGTCACAACTGGTGGGGGAATACTACTTGCATCTAGTGGCTAGAGCCCAGGGATACTGCTAACACCCTGTAATGTACTGAACAGCCCCCAACTGCAAAGAATTCTTTAGCCCAAAATGTCAGTGGTGCTCCTGGGAAGGGACTGGCTTAAAGTGAGAGAGCTCTTCCTCTGCAAATACTAATGCCATCAGAAAAAGAATACTTTAGGGCACCTGGGTGGCTCAGTTGGTTCAGCGACTGCCTTCGGCTCAGGTCATGATCCTGGAGTCCCGGGATCGAGTCCCGCAGCCGGGGGGGGGGACCCTCTTCCCTCTCGTGCTCTCATTCTCTCTCTCAAATAAATAAATAAAATCTTTAAAAAAAAAAAAAAAGAAAAAGAATACTTTGGTCCTATCTTTTGGATAAGAGAATATATAGAAACAGGCAACTTGGAGATTCAGCTGGGTATATTGGCATGGCATTCTCAGACAATTTTACATTTTTAAAAATAGAAAGACTCAAAATGGGGTTACTGGTTTTCCTTATTTTACAGATGGGGTCGAGGATTTGGTCTTTTGGGTTCCATTTTTGGAAAGGATGGTGTATTAAACCAGCCAAACAGTGTCTTTGGACTTATATTTTATATACTACAGTTATTACTTGGTAAGTATTTATACAGCAATACAAAAATAAGTTTGTTTTGTTATATTCCCTTTAGTACTTTGTGTCTTTGCCCTGAAATGTCTTTATAGTAAATAAAAGCATGTTAACGATAGAACACTAGGCTGTAGCACATTTTTCTGTTGTGAAAATTTGGTTCACTGAGATTTTGATGATGCTAATGCTGAATTTGGTATCTGTTGGTGTTTAATCAGGGATAGCAGCGTCCCATAGTGTCCAGAAAAACCAGTCCCATTCAGGGAACTTACTATTCCAAACACTTCCGCAGAAAATGTTTTTCCTTATTAGTTTATATACTGTAGGGTTACTTAAACATATTATGCCCTGAGAGAACATTAACAGTAAGCAGTGCGCGTAATTCCATTGCCTTTACACACCTACTATGTCCATTGTCTTCTGCTCTTTTCACTTAACTTTATGCGAATTCTTTCATGTTGTTTCCTCTCTTCGGTGTTCTGTTACTGTTGATACCAGGTTTCAAGTTTTTGTGTTCTAAATAACACTGCAGTGATCAATTTTGTTTACAGTGCCCCTCACACACACCTCCCTCTTTGGATTAGTTCTGCAAAATAAATTTCCAAACACTGGGTGAATGAGCCAAAACACATAAATTTTTTTAATGGACTTTAATACGTATTACCAAACTACTTTTCCTTCAATTGTCCGGCTTCCCTAAAGCTTCACCCATCTTCATATCTTAAAAGTGTTTTCTGTAAAATTTCTAATTTAATAGTTACAAATCCCCATCATTTTAATTTTCCTGCGTTGTCCCTTTTGTCATCGGGATCCTGATAATAGTCCATTTTCGTATTTGTTACATTTTACCCATTCTTTATCCTTTTTTATGTTAGTTTGGTGAATTTTGATTGTACAGAAGTTTTTTATACTTTTAGATTTAAATCCAGCCATTTTTGACCTTTGGTTTCCATTGTTAATATTTTATCCCATTACCTACCAGCCCTTCTGTGCTCTTCTGCCTAGCTGAAGTTGATTTGTTACGAGGTAAATTGTGAATCTAAATTTTTCTAAATACTCCTATCAGGTTCACCCAGTTCCATATCCTGTAGAAATACAAAAATACGCACAAGGATATTCATAGCAGTACAGTTTAAAATAGCAAAAAATTGGAAGTAGCTTAGCAAAACATAATGGTTGAATAAATTAGGTTACATCCATATTAGAAAATACTATGTAGCCATTAAAGGAAAAAGCAGGTCTTACATGAATATTCTGGAAAGATCAAGACATAGTTTGGTGAAAAAAGCAAATTGTAGTATAGTAGGTATAGAGAAGTATATGTTTATATATATTTATATATACATGTAAATATATATATATATAAATGCATAGAAAAGGGTCTAGTGGTTGGGGGCCAGGGGTCAGACTGTTATTTTTTATTCCATTTATTTGTTCTGTTTGGATTTCTAAAGAAGAATATAATGTATTAGCCGAAAATTAAAATAGCCTAAGAAACGCTTTTGACTATGTTAATTCTTGGAGCTAGGGAACAAATTTCCATTTATAATATTTAATTTGTGAATTTCCTTATACATATATTTTAAATCGTGTGTATCCTATGTATTTTTTCTGTGCACATTTTCTGTGTTCACATGAGGCATTTTTAATGTCAGGAGGCACATTGAAGGCACATGTGAACTCATCTAACACAGTTTTCCAGAGCACATCATCTTCACTCCCTCCTAAACTGTTTGAGATAACAGCATTTTTACTTTAATTTTTCCATAGGTAATACTTTCACGAGTTCGAAAGTAAAAAAATATAAAATGCTATCCAGCAAAAAGCCTGCCCTTGACCTTTGCCCACCTCCACCCACTTCCTGCTGCCTTTCGTCCCCAGCTGGTAGCTGCGTGTTGCAGTACTTAGGCATGTACAAGAAAATACAAGCCCGTCATCTTAATTTTCCTCCTTTTTAAAATATAAAAGGCAGATGCTATACATACTGTCCTACATACTCTTTTTTCTTTTTTGCTCGACTACCTCATCATGGTGGTATTTCCATCGCAGTCCATTGTCTTCATTCTTCTTCACAGCTGCAAAATGTTCCACTGCTTGATCGGACCATCATTTATTTAGAGTCACAGCACCTTGTAAATCCCACTGGGAACTGTATCCCAAGCCACCAGCTACATTACATCAGGACAGGTTGGGTGCAATAGTATTTAACTAATAGCCAGGATTTATGGAGCATTCGAAGGGCTTTATACCTCTTAGCTCACTCATTCATTTATTCATTCATTCATTTATTAAGTAAGCTCTGGGCCCAACGTGGGGCTTGAACTCACGACCCTGAGATCAAGAGTCACGTGCTGTACTGGCTGAGCCAGCCAGTTGCCCCACCTGGTAGCTCTTTTAATTCACACATCAGTATTAGGAGGTAAAAGTGGTTATTATCTCAAGGAAAAGAGTGGCATGGAGAAAGTAAATAACTTGTCCATATCATTTTGAAACCAACTCTCTTAGTGAAATTCACGTGACAGCATTAATTTTTGAAGGTTTAGATATCTAGTAAAGGGCCAGCCAGAAGACCATTTAGGCTTTGCTAACTGTTGCCACGGATGTTACATACGAGTGAGCGCGGCTGGGTCCAGTCAGTCTTTATGTACAAGAGCAGGTGGCCGGTTGGATTTGCCCATCCCCGGCATAAGGAATCCAACAGTATGGTAGCCTTGAGGAGCCCTATGAAAGGTCATACGCTAGAATGACCAGTCCTGGGAGCAAGTCCGGCCTTTGTGGCCCGACTGTAGCCCACAGGCAGCTTCTTGTCAACAGGCAGTGGGGATTTCAGCTCCACTTAATTAACCTCTTCAAACCTCCTACCACCGATAATTTTTTCCTGTTTCTGTTCTCCTTGTCCATTCGTTGTTGGAAGGGAGGGTAGTTTAACGTGCTCTGCTGTCTCCTCTGTCCTTGAGAATAAAAGCACATGTTCTCACGACTGTTGGCTACAGGAAATTACAAAACAATACGTGTGACGATGTCAGCATCAGAGAGCCCCGGTTTAGCGCACAGAACTGCCTTTTGATCTGGTTTGACCCACAAGTGGCCAACTGGCCAAACGTGGTTTCCGTTACCTTCCCGGGTGAGCCCTTTCTGAAATGTTTATTGCAAGTTTTTTCCTTCTTCAGCAGCATATTGGTGCAATCATCTTTGTATGATTTTTGGAAAATTTGGCCTAAGCACTGTGGATTTTTGAGAAATCTGACTAAACATGGGAAGGTAGATTTTACTGCCCACAGATGGGGACCCTGCGGTGTAAAGGCCAGGGGAAGTGTGTCCTGCCTGGGAGAGAAGGCTGTGGGCCTCACGTTCCTTTATCCATTAGGAGCAATGAGGCTGTTGACTTTCCAGATGAGCTTCACGCAGAGTGTGATTGTAAGACTGCGTATTTTCTTTGCGTGACTTAACTAAGGCTAGTTTACGGTGTAAGTAATATTTCACCTAGAATACTGACAAATACTGACAAATCAAAAACACTGCAGCTGGTATTCTGTGTGCAAAGTCAACCTGCATAATCTTAACAAAACAGACCAGTCGTTTTTGTGCCCAGATTTCATCGCATGTTTCAGTACAGTCAGCGATTCCAGCACCGCACCAAATCACAGAATGCTAGCGTTTGACTCAGGGACTTTGTCTCCGTTGTCAAGGCCTCACTGAGCCGAGTGTCTCTTTCTCTTGCAGGCATGACAGCAAGTGCAGTTGCAGCTTTAATCCTCATGACATCCTCCATCGTGTCTGTGGTCGGGTCTTTGTACCTGGCCTACATTCTGTACTTTGTGCTGAAGGAGTTTTGCATCATCTGCGTCATCACATATGTGCTGAACTTCATTCTTCTTATCATCAACTACAAACGACTAGTTTACTTGAATGAGGCCTGGAAACGGCAGCTGCAGCCTAAGCAGGACTGACAGCCGGACAAACTCTGAACTGACAGTCGGAAGTCCCCTTTTCCATTAAGTTTATTTTGCAGCAATTTTTTGTTTGTTTGTTTGTTTTTTAATTCTTTACAACAGACACTTTCCCTAAGAATCTTAAACTGATTTTTTAAAATCCTGTAAATTAGAAGGGGCCCTAGCTATTTTCTGTGTCAATCTTCATTTTAAATATGGATACAAAAAAAAAAAGGAAAGAAAAAAGGATATGCCGAGCCAATCAAAGACAAGCTTTAACTTTACTTTGAAGATGTTTCTGAAATAATAAAATGTAGCCCTAGCCCCCTGCCCTTGATTGTAAAGTGAGCAACCATTGCTAGTAATTCTCTAATGTGTACAAATTCAATTTCAGGTATAACAAATGTGATCATGACATGAAAATATTTTAGAATAGATACTGTATTAAATATTGCCATGTTTACAATATGTAATATGTTTTTAGCCGACGGATTTAAACATGTAGATTCAACTAGAATCCATTTATGTGATATTTGTAAATAAAGGTAGACATATTGGATCCATCCCTGCAGAACTTACTGTACAGTTTAGTTGAAGTGTAGCAATGAAGAATTGTCAGCCCAATGCTGACTGAAGAAATAGTGAAAGTAGTAAGTACAGAGCATCTTGTGAAAAGAACTGACAGCTGCGGGTCCAGTACTGACAGCAAAAATAATAGGGTAGTTGGTTCCCTTTCATCTCCTTCCTCAGAAAGGAAGAAACTAAATTTGGACATTCAAGTCAAGCTTGCGTCTAGTCATAAAACTGGATCAATTATAACCTTACAAAATGTGTCACGTGACCAGACCTTCACGCCCAAGGCCTTCAGGACACCAAAGATGGGGAAATGGCTTAGATTTCTTTGGAGAAAAGCTGGAAACGTTAATATGGCATTTTTAGGTAAAGTCTCTTACAGTAGCTGAATTTTCATGCAGATATTCTTCCTTAATATGGGTGCCAGTCGACCAAACAGTATTAGGACCTTGAAATAACCAGTGTAAGCCCAGTTGCTCCAGAGTAGGAGTGCTCTTGGGTAGCGCCATAGTATCTCCTGTTTCATTCTGCACTAATTGGATGTCTAGTTTAATCGTTGTAGAGTATTAGCTTTGTAAATTTTAGGGCTGACACGCTGCTCAACCTGCTCCACCGGGAGTAGTGCAGGTAGAAATATCTGAAGGTGAAGTACCCTAATGGCGTCGCTGCTCTTTCTAGAAACTACGCAAATGCCCAGGTTTTAAAGGTGATGTGAATAAACCCAAATGAAATTGCGACAGTATGCTTCCATGGTTAACACCTTCTATCAGAATGTTAAAAGTGCCTTCTGTCTTAAACCTCAAACCAAATACTTTGTGTGTTGAACTTGGGCAGAAGTGTCCTTCCTTCCTCTTACCATGAAGTAGAAAACCTGCATTATTCTCTGGAAAGGTTCTGTATGATCATTTTATTGCTTAGATTGAGAAGCAGCAGCAATGTTTTTGCTTCCAGTTAGAGTCATCACTATGTTCAAAAGAGACCGGTAACTTTTGAGTGCTTTCCCAAGCCTTCTTTTTGAAGGGCGGACACAGGCTCTGCTCTGTAAACCGTAATGTGTAGAGTCAGCACCTTTCAGTGGTGTCCAGCTAACTGTCCTGACTGATGATGCAATGTACTTTTCTGGCCCAAGGCAGGTGTAACATCTGAATTGTAATGAACTTTCAACCAGTTTTACCCAGTTTTGTAAAAGTTGAATTCGGATTTCCAGGCTTATGTTTTCCCATGAATGTGAATATTCCAATGCCTGTTTTATTATGTATGTATTGTTCTTGTTTCTGTAGTGAATGAACTACAGAAAGCATTGGATTGGATGTCTGGTGTTTGTGGAGAAACAAGTCCCAACGTTGAAGAACTTGTCCAGTGAGGTCATCCTGTAGCAGCGCTTCCAGTCCTGCCAAGCAGCTTCCGGTTCTTTCTTCTAAGCTAGAGTGGAAATGGTTAACAGTGAAGACTTCTGTGGTATATATAACACCGGCTGTGCTAAATAAGTTCCTCGTGTCCCAATTTAAAATGGTTTTTCATCATATTTTGTATCAATCAGCAGAGTATAGTTAAAGCTTGTCTTGATGTTGCATCCTTGGAAACGTCTTCAACTCTTATAGGATAAAACGTGAAAAATGTTCAGCCACACCCTTCCAGGTTTCCCTTTGCTTTCCTAATAAGCCTTGGGGAGAACACCACTATTTCGGTCGTGCAAAAATTTTTGCCACGTTCCTGTGACCCCAGTAGAATTCATATCTTTTTTCTCACTGAGCGATGAAGGCATGCTGCCTGAAATAACAGCATCGTACTGCTAGTATCTCAGTAAGCAACAGGACCCCGGTGGAAGAATTTAGTCTCCCCTCTCCATCCTCTCTTCCACTCCAAGAAGGAGTGGTAGAATTTGAGGACTGTTATGACTATTTTAGACTCAGTATTTAAAACACTGCAACATTACTAGCCACCAACACTGAAGAACAAAGTGGCGGGGAGGGGAAGATTGGATGTCTGTTTTTTGCAGTAATTCCATGCTTCTTGGTTCGGGGAATGAGTCCCTTATTTACTTGGTAGTCATATCATTTGAAGAAATAAGAGAAGCTGTGGTTAGATGACAAATTCTAGGTGGTTTGGTGGATATCATTAGGTTTTTCTTTGCAGCTAGGTGCTTTCCACGAAGGTAAACTGGTGAATAACTCAGGTTTAACTAGCTGTCTGCCAGGAATTACTTCTACTCGATGTATGTCACCTCTCTTTAAATCCGTTACTTTTAAAGATGTTGAAAGCATTGACTATTTTCATACAAAGATCTGTCATTTGGTACAAGAGATCTTTGGACCCTACTCGGTAGGACATAGGACCAAGACTCCAGTGAAATTAAAACTATTTGTTGGCTTTAGTTTGCTTGTATTTCATTTATAAGATTATCAGCAAAAGTGCAAAGTCCTCTTCAGCGACTACTTCGTAACTGAGATTGGAACCACTGCTTGACATGAGTGAAAGCTGGCAAATCTTGTCTTGAAAATTCGTGTTAGACAAATGCCAACAAGAAATCCACTTATCATTTTTGGTAACCTATTTGGGAAGGAATACCTAACATGCAACCTTGGTCCTCATGTTTTCCCCCAACACGCAAGCATTGGTGGAACATTTCTATTCAGACATTTTAGGCAGCATTTATGATTCCTAATCTGTGAGAACTCTCCCCTTCGATAAAACAGGAGGGGCAGGGGTGGGAATCCAGGCTACTTGGTTTTTTGTTGTTGTTGTTGTTGTTTTTTAACAAATGAGCCCAGAAAAGGTGAAATGTTTTGTTATAAAACTGTATTAAGCATGGCCTAAGTATTAGGTATATGATCTGTATAGTATGTTCCATCAGAAGTATTTATTACTAGTGCTTTAAGCTCCAGAGCAAACATTCATTTAAAGTGGAGTTCACTGGGCAGACTTCCCCCTTTACTAGAGATAGAAATATTCTTTATCAGAGACTTAGGACCGTTTTGCTAACTGGTAAAAACAAATGTAAATATGTAAGAATGTTTATTTGTTGCACATAACTTTTTTGGTATAAAATAAATGTAGCCGTTACCATGGAAGCTGTGCCATCCTTCTTACGCTGAAGTGTCACAGTCCAGACAAGGTGCTGGGGTCAATCCAGTCTTCCCATCAGCTACTCTGGAGGCTGACACTGTAACTTCCTTCCTACAGGTGTACTGAGCTGCCTCTTTTTCCCTTCCATTATTTGTAATTTATAGAAGACACGTGCAGAATTCTTAAGGAGGTTGTAGTTCCTGGAATTTGCGTGCGCTTGTGATGTATGTGGTTGTCAGGAATGAATGAAAGAGGAGCTCCTGCTCGGGGGTGTGTGAGCACAAGGGACGGGGCCGCTGACCTTGCCACTGAGCTCTTGCCCACAGCTTTACTCTAGCTCCCCCTGAAGACTCCACTCAGTCTCCTCAAAAGGTAACATCTGCAAGGAGGATGAATCCCTTTAAAATACAGTTCAGCCAGATTTTACTGAAGACAACACATGTGTTCTGTGCTAGAACCTTAGGACTTAGGAAGTGAAACTTACCACTAACTTTAAAACATTTAAGTGTGTGTGTTACGTTTAATTTTTTTTTTAATGTTTCTAGTAGAGAATTATCTATCATTCCCAGACCTTAAATGCAACACAAAACTTGAAGCCTTCGAGGAACTGAAGTTCACTGGTCCCAAGAAACATGGACCCCCTAGAATCCCTAACCAACTACACTCAAATTTCTTAAAAGTGGTCTGAAGATGGCCACTAAAAGGACGTTAAATTATCGTTACTGTTCCTTTCCTGGAGCTTGGAAAGGAAGGATAAAAATGGGTACGTGTTGAGATGGGAGGTAGCAACCACAAGTGAAGTGAATCGAGTTCTGTATTAAGAACCACATTGGTTCATGGTCCTCCCTTTGACTGGACACCAACAGGATCTTCTTCCAAAGCCCTGAGCTTTAAACCAGGATTGATACTGAAATCTTAGGAATAGTGTACCTGACTCGGCCAAATGGAAGCTGTGCAAGAGGAGGAGGAGGAATGGTTCCACAGGGAAAGACCAAAGACCATCCCCCAGGAGCAGGGCAGTGGCCTCACCCAGAGGTACAAAGGCCTAGAGTACCCGTCTGTAGGCCCAGCCTGTTTAAAAAGGTCCCATCACTGGGGCGTCTGGGTAGCTCAGTCGGTTAAGCGTCTGCCTTCGGCTCAGGTGGTGATCCCAGGATCCTGGGATCAAGCCCCACATCGGGCTCCCTGCTCAGCGGGAAGCCTGCTTCTCCCTCTGCCTCTGCCTGCCTGCCACTCCCCCTGCTTATGCTCTCTCTCTCACTATCTCTGTCTCTGTGTCAAATAAAAATAAATAAAATCTTCAAAAAAAAAAAATAGTAAAAAAATAATAAAAAGGTCCCATCACGTTCAGTGGAGTCAGATGTGATGGGACCAGTGAGCCTTTAATACCCATCTGTCCACTTCTGTCGGGACTAGACTATGGCTGAGGTTGGAATCACGTCCTGGAAGAATTGGTAACCTCTGAGCTCCCTTCTGATTCAGATACTCTTTAGCTCTTACCTTTCTTATGCTTACTTGTCAGCTTACAACTTTGTGGAAATTGGTACACAGACCTTGCTCATTATTCCAGTAATACCACTTTCTGGAAATTCCCTGGGACTGGAGCTCCTCTGTGAAGCTGAAGAGCAGTTGTCTGTTCCTCACGCGCCTGGTCTGCACAAGCACGGGAGGCCCGAGGGCCGCAGGGCTGCTCCTGTGGAAGCAGAGTCTGTAAGCAGCACCTCTGACGGGTGTGAGTGGAAGCACAGGTTTCTCAAGACTCGAACACAGTGAAGTTTGTGAAAACAGCCTGACACATAAAAAGAATTTCAGATGCTTTCTAGCAGTATAGATCATTCAATTTATAGATTTATTCAATCCAATTTATGTCTTTATGGCCACTTCCATAAAGACAGCTCTTGATTCACATACAACAAAAGCCTTTATCTTCACCTCTCACATTCCCTTCTAGTGAATTAGTACAAACTCCAGGCCAGAAACTTCCCAGTCTGCCCCGCACGGTCCAGAAAGTGCTCGATGTCTTCGCTGTGGAGGCGGCCCCTTACCTGGGGAGCAGGCACTGAGAGCCGCCTGTGGCAGGAGAGGTGGTTCGTGGTTTAAAAACTAAACGGGCTGTTTTCCAAACACTGTGACTTCGCTGCTGACAGGTGGTACATGGTTTCATTGGCAAGTTTCCAGTATCTCTCTCGCAAAAGGAACGCCGCCGCTTTTGGCTGTCTCTGCCGAGTGAAGATCCCCTTTTTATTCCCCATTACTCTCCGCGGTGCTAAAAACAAGGCAGAAGGAGTTTCAGATGCCTTCTGATGGGCCAAATGGGGACCAACCTGGAGCCACGCTGGGCACGAAACAGAACTGCCCTTTCACAGTTTCGGCCTGCTCGGTTGGAAGTGGCGTCCGAAGCCCACTTCCGTACTGCTGCTCCCCTAAACCACCTCAGCGCCCTGGGGTGCTGTTTCTTTTGTCTGTTAGGGGAAGGACACCCAAAATTACGTATTTTCTCTGCGAAACATGCATACCCAGCCGCCCGGTAGCTGGCGCAGGGGGCCGAGGGCGAGTTACCCTCGGAAAGGCCGGGGCTGCTCTGAAGAGACAATCTGGCGGGAGCTGGAGCCGGAGCCGGCAAGGCCAGGCTCTCACTGCTGCAGGCCGCTCGGCTGCTCTGCCCAGGCTGAAGCTGGGAGGGCGGCAAAGCCGGCCCCGGGCTCCCGGGACACCTGCTGCCTACCCCCTCGTGAAACCGCAGCCTCCGTTAAATGGGAAGCTCTCTCCGTGATAAGCCAATGCGAGGCACCATGCCAAGCCCCTTATCAAACGAACTCCTACGTCAGCTTGCAAGGTGGTTTATCCCCACGTACAGGCTTATGGAAGAGCTGGGTAATCTGTCCACAGTCACAGCTGATTTCTTATTGCACAAAGCCAAGGTGCCCACTCACGAAACTAGGCTGCAGAAGCCATTGATCTCATTTGCCAAACACAGAGAGGCTTGTGTTCTCATTCCTTTTTCTCTTTACCTCCCTCTCAATTCTGATTTTTTTATTTTTAAAGATTGTATTTATTTGAGAGAGAGAGAGCACGTGAGAGGGGGCAGGGTCAGAGGGAGAAGCAGGCTCCCCGCTGAGCAGGGAGCCCGACGCGGGACTCGATCCCGGGACTCCAGGATCATGACCTGAGCCGAAGGCAGTCGCTTAACCAACTGAGCCACCCAGGCGCCCTCCATTCTAATTCTTAATTAAA